TTCGGAACAGCTCATCGACGCCATCAAGTCGAGTTGCAAAGGTTTGTTTCTTTTGGTGAGCTGAGCACTTGCGGGATACAGCTCCATGTTATCCTTTCTCCATAACCAAGTAAAATGATGTGTACTATACTTCTTCTACCTTCTTTCTACCTTCTTACTATATAATATTAGCTTTCAATGCGCACCGCAATCCTCTTTCGCTGTACGGTAAGAACGCGGTTCGATGTTAAATTATACCCATTCGACCTAAGCAACATTGAATATCACAACCGGAGTCTACCAAGACCATACCTCACCATAAAGGGTTGAGGTTGGCTATTCGCATGCGCTGAAAAACAGGAATATCTTAACTAACTACCAGCATTGAATTCAGAATATATAATACACATAAACCCTTCACACCCCGTGATATTCGACCTGTGGGTCATTCACCAAGTCCTGCTATTCGAAGAGGGACCTTGAACTTGATGGATGGGAACTTCACAGCCTTCCCCATTGAGCCGAACAAAAGAGTAACGCCCAGTACGTAGGAACGTGATAGACAACACGATTCAAAAGCAGGAACGAATGCCTTTGACGTTGGAAGAGATATTGGAACGACGACCGAAGCCCTGTAAAGGCGCCTAGGCGTTGAAGTAGCGGTATGGGTGTGAAATTCAGATCGTCCTTCGTCGGAAATGATCTCGAAGTACTCCGTTAGCGGGAATTCCTTCCATCGCGTCGAGGAGAAGTCCAAGTCGCCCAAATGAACGGTTGAGGAGTGAGTGGCTTCTTCACTCTGGCAAACTGGGCCTGATGGGAAGGACGAAAAGGAACACTCCGCGCAGTGGTATGAGCCACCACTTTCTTGGAGACGGAGCGAAGTGGCGGCGGCTCATTATTCCTGACACGAACCATAATACCATTGCAAGGACAGTAGTAGAGCATTTGACTTCATCGTGATACGCCGCGCTGAGATGAATTGGCTGAGGCTCTAAGGCTTCAACATACAACGTTCCTTTGGTATCATGATTGTGTACTGTTTTGATGGTCTGTAGTTCCTTCGTGTAGACTGGTCGATCATCGAAAGTGCTGACGGGTGACTTCTCCTTCACACCCGGGAGGATTCGAACGGCCAATTCTGCAGATTTCCCGGGCTGGTAGGGCCCCTTGTTCTCTTTGGTCTCGTTTAAAAGTCTCGCCTGGATAGAATAGCTGATTCTAAAATTGGTAGACGATAGATCGTCGAACTTTGAATGTTTCTCCTTGAGTGTCGAAGCATATCCGAGGGTTGGCGGAGGCAGTAGATGAGACTGAAGGGCATCCTAGTCTTCTCCATGCCGGCAGATGCTCACAGGAAGCTCAGTCTTATGACAAAAAGGAACGGAATTTTGTACAAGTACCCGGCCTTCAAGTTCTGGGGCGTCGAGAATGCGGCATCCTCGGTAGGTTGGGTTAACTCCAACAAAGTCTTTTTTCTGTATGTTTTGACGGGCAACATGACTCCGTCATTCTCGATCCGTGATTGACCTAGGGAGCTATGTTAATCTCAGATATCAACATGAGATCGGAATTTGCTGACCTCGGAATACGATTTCAACCATGCCCGGTTGAATGACATCCTTTGTTTGGATCCATACATATCCCTCTAGGTGCTCGCCTGTAGAATAGAAGTGACGCCCGGTTCCATGCTCACACAACTCTATGCAAACGCTCACGCGGAATAATCTGATGAGCCTTGTCATAGATTCGGATTGCAAAGTTTTAGAATGACAAGGGAAAACACTCGATAAAGAATCGAAGAATCGTAGACTGTATTATACAACGGACTGGATTTGCCTTCGGTCCCACTTTTGGCTTACAACCAGACGTATACTTGATGAGCTTACTTCTGGTTCCACTTTAGATCTTTCTTAGCCCATACCATGGTCGTGAAACTCCCAGAGGGTGGTCAGCTAAGACCCGGCTGCTCTTTTGCCTAGCGTTGGGATTCAAGATGAACGCACCTTTACAGTCGACAATTGAGTCATTTTACTTGGTATATACAAAAATATTCAAATCCAATTCTTCAGTCTTCATCAAGGCTTGATGTAAGAACTAACTAGTGATTTCTCTCTTAGGTTATCGGGGCGTGTGACGTTTTGGGTTCACCCGGGTACCTGTACCCGGACCCGTAGATCAAGTGGGCTATCAACGGATGGCCATTCCGAATTTCTTTTCACGGACCTGTTTTGAGTTATAGTCTAACCCAGGTCTAATATGAGCAGATACCATGGCTAAGAGGTCCCACCTCCCGAGGTCGCTTTCGGTGTGAGTCAACAGGGCATGATAAGATATGTAACAGAATCATCCCAAACCCTTGCTTAGGAAGTCGCTACCACACTCTACTATATAAACTAGTTCGAGCTCACTGAAACACATATATTTGCTACCAGGACTCGAATTCTATATCCTCTCTTCACCGTGTCTGAGTCTATTAATGTTGTTGGCCCCTTTCAACTACACGCATGTGCTAACGCATGCTGTCCACGAAACCTACAGCTTAAATACATATGATATCAGCGTACTTCCATATCTTTAGTTTTCACGGGTCCTCGTGCTAAAGCTAGGTCAAAGCAAAATTTAAAGGAGGTCCAATTGCATGTCCCGACAGAGCCACTAGCTCGAGATATGAGATAATATTATAGATCTGCTTAGTTGACTTAAAGGCCTAAAAAAGAATAACTTACTTATAGGATAGAACCGATCAACCTTGACATATTTCTACTCGGATAATGTGGAAATAAAGAATTCTGGATGAAGAGGATAGGTAGGCTAGAAAATATATCGAATAGGGTCAAATCTTACTCCGAAGGGTACCTTTTTCCAACCACTATAGCGTAGCTGAATATAAAGTCACTCATATTTCTTATTCCTCACACCGGATAGGTATCTGTATATCCTTCACTACATGCTGTCATAGCCGTATCTCTTACGCTTTTTCCCATAGACCTAGATACTACGTCACCGAACCTCTATCTTGGTAGATAACACGTTATATAATAGCGCTTATAGGGACCTTCTGACCAACTTATGAACTACTGTATCTAATTCATATTGACTTCTAACCATTTGCAATTTCTCCTAGATTAACCCTATAATAAATCAATCTTAGCCTCTCGGTCTTCCTGTTTATTTTCAGAGAAATACTTAACTAGGCACCAATATCGGTCCTGAGACTGGGAACACTTTCTGTTGGTCCGTTAGGAAGTTATGTTGCATGTAGTAGCCGTAACGTCTGTTGATGTCGACCATAGGCGGCCCACCATAGCGACGACTTCCCTTGGTCATCGACCGCATTGATATCGGTACCGGAATAACGTAGCAACAACGCCACAATTTTATGGCATCCATAAGCTGATGCGAAGATGAGGGCGGTCCAGTGTTGAGGTCCTCGATCGTTGACCGCGATCCGGTTCCCTTAGCTGAGAAGGAGAGAGACGATAAGGTAATTCCCGTTGATGATAGCCACCTGAAGTGGGGTTGTTCCAGTAAGGCTTTTCTGATTAATATTGACTGATTTTTGATGCAAAATAAGGTTGACCACTCGGTAGTGAAATACGTTATGCGCCGACAGATGTTGGATGCCTGATATGTTAGGCAGCGAATGTGACAGATCCTGATTGTAACTAGTTAGATAGCTAGTCAGCTTCTCTCTCTTCCTCTCTCTTCCTTTCCTCTCCGTCCTTTTCACCCCATAGGAATCAACACATTGTTTCTCTATTGATCTCAATTGTAGTGAGATTCCAAGACATGCTCACATGAAAAATTGCAGGATTATCTTGTGTGGGTCGTCCACGAGGGCAGACTCTTACGCTATGACCGTGTATCGTCTTGTTTGTCCTCTCCGTTGTACGTCTTCGGTTCCTCGAGCGCTGGGGTCATGGCTAGTTGACGTGGATGTCATGGTGGGATTATTGTTGTCTTGTCAGTTCTCTCTATCGTCGGTTGTCTTTGTCGTTATTGTCAGGGTTGGTGATAGATGAAGGGGTTGGTTGTATGATAGCGATAGTATGTCAACAAGGCGGTAAACAATTGCCCACGCCTGGTCCGCAATAAACTGCACCGGTGTTCGCAGAGAAAAAGACAAGGGGAATCGCTTATTCCACGTCGAGAAATGTCCAAGCTGGCAAAGGGGGTGGCGGAGAGAAAGAAGGTTCGTTCTGGAGAGAGACAGAGAGCGACGCTATCTACATGGCGAGGCTGGTTAGGTGACCGTCTCCCTGACAAGTGGTCTTTGATATGACTACGGCTCAGTAGGCCCCTACTAAGCCGATGCCTGGTATTTGGTAGTATGGTACAGTGGATTCCCAGAGCCTGTGCACACCGCCGGCTCCTTTCCTTTATAGGTAGTTGTTCGTAGGGAATGAAAGAGATGAAGAGTATCAACGAATGTACAGTATTGATCTCTAGAGAGATGTTGGAATTAAGTTGAGGTGGACTATGGAAGACTAGATATACCAACATACAGGTAGAAATAGGTCATGTCGTTGAAATATTATGGGAATAAAAATATGGCATTTTGGGGCGCGTCATTCGTTTGTGTGCGTCACTTGCTTGTGGGTTATGTTAGTCTTTCCCTTCATGATAGCTTCAATCACGATGTTCTCTCAGCCCTTCTTTTTCTGGCAATCTCTATAGCCGTCAGCTTCCACTACGCTATTTCCTGCGACCTCCGTCAGGTTCAGGCGTGACTGTCCACTGTCCAGAACCGCGAACGCATATCTCCACCGGCTAACCGCGGAAAGCTGGTATAGTTCACGGAGTTATCAGCCGGTGACATCAGTATGTATAGATTACCGGAGCTATCTGCCCATGATATCAGTACGTATAGATTACCGGAGCTATATGCCCATGATATCAGTACGTATAGATCACGGACCTGTCTGCCCATGGTATCAGTACGAATAGATCACCGGAGCTATCAGCCTGTGACATCGGGATATAAAATGTCAAGGTTGACAATGGGGTGACAACTCTTGATGAACATTCATACTTTTGTCCCACGTCGAGATCCAGGCCTTCCATCAACAATGAAAACCATTTTGCGTCGTCTTCTCACACTGGGAGTATCGGGCGTCAGCCTGGCCGGGGTCGGGCAGAAGGAAGTTGAGGTGCTACGATTCTATGCACCCGGGGACGTGACGACAGACTCGCTGCACAATATCCACGTCGACTTCCTGGACAGGCACTTTGAAGGTCCGCTGCAACTTGTGTATGGTGAATGCAGCATACAGACCCCAGCACAGGGTCACCATGACATTGGGAGCATGTTCGTCCCGCGAGAGGCCCAGCCAGAACGCTTCGTCTGGGTCACTCCCTCCGACGCACCCCATTCACACTGCCTCCATGCATTCTCCGGCTCTACGCTCGTTGGCCGCTCCTCACCCATCACAGTGTCGTCGCCTGTCACTAAGCGCGAGAGCATCGCGGACGTGGCAGACACCATGGGTCCGTGGTTTGACGGGGTCGCGTACATGAAATCTACGAATAACAGCGCGGCGTTCGTCGCGAAAGCGAAGAACTCGTCCATCGCGATCCTCGGCGGCGGCATTTCCGGGCTAATGACGAGCCTGCTGCTCGAGTCAGTTGGGATCCACAACTGGCACATCATCGAATCGTCAGGACGGGTGGGCGGCCGTATCCGCACCAAGTATCTGAACAATACCCGCCCCGACCAGTACCAGTATCAGGAAATGGGGCCAATGCGATTCCCAGTCAATATCACGTACGCCGACACGAACGAGACACTCGAGATTCAGGACCACCGCATGGTATTCCAGCTAGCGGACGTCCTTAACCAGATGAACGCTGGCAGACCGGATCTCCAGCTTAAATTTATTCCCTGGATCCAGAGCAGCCCTAACGTCCCTGCGGACTCGGGAGGTAGCCGTCTACCGAACGGACAGATCCCCACCGCCGCGCAAGTCGCCGCCAACCCGTCGCTCGTCCACAAACCCGCTTCATCCAATGCCACCGCTGTTGGAGACGCAAAGGCGGCGTACGAGAGCTTCACAACGTTTAACCAGCGGGAAACAATCCGCAAGATCGCGACTAACATGTACCAAGCCCACAAGGAGGCCATCGAGACCGGCAAACTGCACTGGTCTGAGGCCGGATACTTGCGGTATGCGCTGGGGTATGACGCCAACATCACGGACTACGTCGCTGGAATCGCCGAATCGACCCGCTCCATCGCTGGAAAGACCATCACCCCGATCTGGGGCAATCTCTTCGACGACGTCTACTTTGCTGCAACCAAGTGGCTCACCATTGATAAAGGCCTCGAGTCTCTGTCGCGTGCATTTTATCCTCATGTCGCCGCGAAGACGACGTTCAACCGCACGGTAGAAGGATTGTCGTACAACCAGACGTCAGGCAAAATCGATGTTACATGGCGGGATGACCCCCTGCAAACGGCTCCAGGGATGAAAGAGTACGACTATGCAGTGGTGACCGCGCCGTTTAGCAAGGTGAGGCTGTGGAATCTACCACGGTATTCATCTCTGCTTCGCCGCGCGATCTTATCACTGAACTACGAGCAAGCCTGCAAGGTGGGACTGCTCTACAAAACCCGGTTCTGGGAGCATCTGGACAACCCAATCTTCGGCGGCTGCGGCACCGTCGACCTCACAGGCGTCGGCACCGTCTGCTACCCGTCATATAACCTAAACGGCACTGGGCCAGGCGTCATCCAGGCCTCGTATGTCGTTGGCATGCCGGCACGCTCCACCGCTGCCCTCAGCCGCGAGGAGTATGTCGCGCTCGTCCAGCGCGCTATGGTCGAAGTGCATGGCGAGATCGCTGCAGAACAGTTCACCGGCATCTACGATCGCCAATGCTGGGAGTTCGACCGGCACGAGGCGGGCGCATGGGCAAGCCCGCTAGTGGGACAGCAGGAGCTATATCTGCCGGCTTACTTTCAGACGGAATTCAAGACCATTTTCGTTGGCGACCACACGAGCTACACTTATTCGTGGATTTCTTCGGCCCTCGACTCGACCGTCCGTGGTACCACGCAGCTACTACTTGACCTAGGCTTGGTAGATGAAGCTAAGTCAATTGTGAACACCTGGATGGGCCGGTGGATCAAGCTATGACCTTTATGAGATGTTTCTTCTATACTTTATCTTCATAGATTTTCCATCTAGTTAATCAATAAATCCAGACTCTGCAAATGATAATGGATACACTTCTTTCCACTTCAAATCCCAGCACCCCCCCTTTCCTCCATGAGAATCAATCGACAATCGAGCAAGACCATGCAGCAGCTGTCCCACCGAATCCTCCGACTCCAGCATCTCCCTCCCGTCTCAGTAGTCTTTGGCAAGACAAAAGACCTTAGATACGTTCTATCTTCTTAGCCATAAGCTAACGCGCTCCGACGTCCGATTCTCGTCCTCGTTAGACCACGTGTAACTCACACTCAAGCGCAGCAAGACAGACCACCGCCACGAAGGAGTACAGATTATTCTTGCAAAGACAGGAGACGGAGCGTGCCCGGTTGAGGCACTTCAGAAGCTGCTACTTCTCGATCCCAGAGGGCCCGATGCGGCGACGCCCCGTTGTTCTCCTTCCATAGAAGACCATTCAGTCGCACTAACTTCCTCTCGACCTTGAGAGACGGACAAACGGCTACTCGGGCCACAGTTTTCGGACGGGTGCGGCTCAGTATGCACACGATAGTGGGATACTCGACGGCCAGATTCAGGTGCTAGGGAGCTGGACCTCGGAGGCATTCAGGGTGTATTTTACAACGAACGCGTTAGTTCTGTACAAGCTTAACAACCAGTTCCAGACAGGCTCGCCGGCCCCGCTGTCTCTGCTACTTCTGCCACCGTCCCCTCCACTATCCTAGTTTGGCCCGGGTCATTGGGCCCTATCTGACGCTACGGTCTAAGACCGCAGCGATAGGTGACGCGTTACGGCCACACTATACTCTCCTTGTCCCTCTTGACTGCGTGAGGTCACCAATAAAATGTTAATTTTTTTAGCGCCGACATCTCTTTAAGGTGTTTTATTTACCCCTTTTCAAAGCTATTACAGAGTATCTATTCCATAAGATGGCTAGTTCTTGGTTCCAACCACCCCCATTCGCGGTTATTAATCCTGAGGCTACTCCCTCTACGCAAGCTACAGCTAATGCTGAGTTAGAGATTAATCGTATTATTTACGATCTGCCATCTGTAAGTCATAAAATTTCATCGTGTTTTACATATGCTAAGTTTTTATTAAACAGCGACGAAGTAGATCGCCCTTTGAGTCTTCAGTGTACCAGCATTGTATCGATCCAGATCAATCATCTGATGTCAATTCCGATCAAGACGATGAAGAAAATAGAAGTACCTTTGGTTCTATATAGCTCCTTCAAACGCAAGAATCATCACAGATGGGACTAAAATTAGCAATAGCACCGGAGTGCCCGGACACAGACGAGGATGGGATTTTACATATCATCGACACCTCAGCAAATCCACTCCGGGATGTTGAAAGCACCTCTGCCAGCGTCAATCAAGTTTGTTCTAGGCTTATGTCGTCGGTATGTTTCATATATCCCTAGCATATGTTAACATTACTGGTTACCATAGGTTCAATTTTCGACCAAACACCTCCAAAATCAACGCAAATCTATACAAAGCTTCTCCAAAAAGAAGTATTAGTATAGGTCAGGTATATGTTAAATATATCGGTAACTTACCAGGCGCTTGCTTTTTACACATGTCAACAGTAACCGTCCGAATTCCATTACAAGAATCATGTCTCCCAAACTGATATGCCCATCGAATCTGCTTTCGGCCAACATCCCCAAGAATCTTGAAGATTTTCTCAAAAAGGACCCGATAAGCAACACGAGGTTCGAGATTTATAAATGCATAGACATAGGTATTTAATCCTAAGATTAGCATAGCGTCAACATATGTTTAGTATTTATAAAACATCAGACGAAACCAGACTTTTTGCATGTTCATTCCACCCAGAGACTTAAAAAGCCTTAGTCTGTCCCTGAGTCATCTTGAAAACAAGATCCATTTCAAGATGTCGTACGCTTTGAAAAAGCTTAGCTTGTTCGTACGTGCAACATATGATTAGATAGTGTTCCCGGTGTGACGGTTGTGACTTGCTAAGCCAGGGAATAACTTCATTCTGCGGGATTGGCGCCTGAGGTATCTGTTTGGGATGTTTGCCTGTCTGCTGTGCACTTGAGCTCTCTCTTTTGAGGATCTTCCCTTTTTCCTCTTCCCTCTTCAGCTTCGATACTTTCGTCTAATGGTACCGAATTGATCCGTTCTTTTTGACTGACCCGTAACACCCGGTTCTCGCCAAAGAAATAGACTTCGCGAATCCGTTGATCATCAACGTTCTTTGTTAGATCGAACTGGTATTCACACCATACCCCAGCAAGCCTTGTACCTTCTGGATAATATAGTAGTCTCTGCTTATGAATTAAATCAGTTACTTTATCCTCAATGTGTAAGCTCTTGTGGATATATCGAAGCTCAGAATCACCATATTGACGTAGGAGCTTTGCAAAAAGAGGCGAGACCATCAATTTACGTGCCGTTAACCCAAGGATATCCTGTGTATTGATTGCCTCCGCAATTTCCTTATCAATTTCATATAGTAGCTTTGTGGGTGGTGGTGGGGCATGCGAATGGGATCCTCGGCAAACAAGAAAGAAAAATTGAAACAGTCCCACTAGCACGGGATATAAAGATCAAACTTAACAGTGCAGGTAATCTGTGTTTGTTGACCTACACCATCTGCATGGATTGAATCTAATATACGATTAGTATATATTATGCATATGTTTAGCATATCAAGAATATGTCCTACCACAACGGCGACGCCTAGCTGAACGGTGCGCCACAAAATAGCAATTATCAGTCCCACAACTAGTGGCTCGTAGACCATCCTTGCGTCTACAACCGATAGGTTAGTCATATACTCTGGATGTGAATAGGAATAGGATAATATACCTTAGAATTGCAGTTAATAATGCTTGCTTTGGGCCCACTGCCTCGTTATCATTAAAGTGGCTGCTTTCGCTAATCCTAGTATGATGTGGAGCGTTAACCCACCATTCAATAAGAATCTTTGAAGCCTTCGAGGTTATTGAAGGAGCACACTTCATATATCTGCAATCAAGTTGTACCCGGCACTATTCCCTATTACAAAGATTTACGCGATCTCCTGGTCAACCAGGGACACCTCGCGATGGACGCACAGGTCCTCAAAGTCTCCGACGTTGCTCTAACTTTTATCTACTAGAAACTAATAAGCGCTAAGATCGGAATAAATTATATCCTTTTTATAGACAAAGGCCACTACCTTAATAGCTTATTAAGCGATACGATATTTAGTATTACTCTTTAAAGGGGTTTTCTTTAAATAGGATTTAAGGTCGCTATTATATTTATACTATAAATCGATAAAATTATCGCCCTAGCGAATATACTAGGTAATCCGTTTATATTTACCTAGGTGATCGTATATACGGCCTTCGATATCTATAGTACGAATACTATAGATATATGTAAAGGTATACTATTTCCAGGTGTATAGCCTATCAACCGGGTAAGATACTATAGCTTAGAGGAGAACACAAATTGAAAGAATACTATACGTTTCTCCCCCCTACTATTCAACTCGCCTAACTAATAGGACTAGCCTAACAACTAGTATTTCTTTACAATTGTGAATTAACCGATGCTAATAATATTTTATCGGTAGGGTTACTTAAGTTCACTACGGAACCTACACTTTTTAAACTAGTTAATGATTATCGGATATTAGTTTCCCCTAGCGTACTAAAATCATTATACCTAGAAGGCTAGTTAATTTAGGTCAACTAGGGGGACGGTCGGCTTAGATAGGCTTCCTTTCTTAAGAAAATCTAGGAATCCACTTAGCCTAGTCAGGCTCGACGGCCATCATATTCCAGGCGAACACCGAGACGACTCAACACCACTTCAACTGAGACCACTTCTTGAAGTCTCTTTGCAGTCTGCAAAATCCATCTTGCGTACCCTTTCAATGTTACATGAACAACCCCATTCAGGTGCGATTGGCTTTATTTTCACGGATTTAAAAGAAAAATAACTAACCTTTTTCAGAACCACTATTCCCTTTCGGACTAGATTACCTTTTTTTCATCTACATTCATTGTCGTTATAGCACATTTTATAGATCCATCGTTGGTGGTGGATATGCAACATTATGTGACAAATGTCACTCATATGTTAAGCGATATGGCTGGAAAGGGGAACGCAATGGCCCGCTTGCGGCAAAAGGAACTGACCCTCCTACAACAAATGAAAGAAGCCGTCATCGGAAGGGAAACCGGGCGACCCGATTTTACACCGGATCCTTCTAGTACTATACACGCCTTTTCACCATTTCAGTCGACGGGTGAATGGGTCGGAGCCACGGAGGATATTAGTGTGAACCATACGCAGATACTGAATCTGGCTCAGCAGCTGGATGTTTTGAACGGCAGCGACTGGGACATCAATTTTGGCATTGGGGGTGACTCATGGATATAGTGCGAGTGATGCTTCCAGGATCTTCTGTTTTATGTACAAGCGCCCAAGACAAAACCACTCTCACTCGTACGATCACCTTGTTCGACAATGAAAGCCATCGTTCCAGTATACTACGCGTTTCCCTCGACCAGAACAACGACACCGCTCCTATCCGTCTTTGTATTGGGACCCTCTATCTTCACATCCTCCTCGACGATACTTGCAACAAAGGCTCCGGTATTGAAATGGTTCGAGACAAGTGAGTTGTATGCCCATGTCTGAACCTGCTGCCTGGTTCCCTTGGCATGCGCTAGAGCCATACGAGCAGCCACGCATGACCCTGTCGGCGACCAATCAATTTGGTCTTCTGCGAAGAAGCAAAGACCGGTCTCTGCTCCGTCGACACCATCGGGCTTGAAACTGATTTCATGATCGACGACCATGACTGAGTAAAGGAAAGACAATCGTTAGTCCTCTGGGTGCTGCAATGCCTCAATGATATGTGGCAAAGTGACCAAGTGCCTCTTCAACCTCTTCACAGCAAAAGTCACGGCTTCGAGGCTGAAGTTATGCAGCCCAGTTTGAAACCAAGCTCATGAATATGCACAAGTGCATAGAAAGCACCGCCATACGGGACGTCGAGCTGAATCGAGGTTTTATCGCCGAGTTCTGGCCATGCGAGCTCCCGTGAGATCGACACTTCCAAATCTTTCGCTGCGCAGTACGCTGGTGTAGACAGAAACCGGACCGGGCGGGAAGAATCCGATTTCTGGCCGTCGGCGGAGGTAGGAACGACAACCCGAACCAGGCCACAGGGCGCATGAATATTGACTTAAACCTCACACGCCGTCAAATCAGGCCTTAATTCATTTCGCTGCGGGAAGACCGTCAAGTCGTGGGTGTCAACAAGGAAGCGCCCGAGGGCGATCGTTGCATGGCCACACATTGTTGAGAATCCACCGTTATGCGTGAACAGAGTGCCGATGTGCGCCTCGCCTGATTGGACAAGCTCCGTCTCTGGAATAATGATCGCACCGTACATGTCGTAGTGACCGCGTGGTTCCAACATGATTCGTTTGCGAATGTGGTCATATTGGCTCTTGGCTTGGTCTCGTTGCTCCAGAAGAGTGCCGTTTAGCGTGGGGAATCCAGAGTAGATGATGCGGGTGAGCTTTCCAGTGGTGTGCATGTCAATGCACTTGATCACCTCCCCGGAGGGGGGGTCTGTTGAGTTGGCGTGCGAGATCCATGGCGTTTCTGTGTGGAAATAAGAAAAAGTCCACAGTCAAGTAGGTTTTAGAGAAAAGCTGTATTTTATTCACTTCGACATCAAGGGCTCCCTCCGAGGTCCGCCCACCGCTGCTCGGATGCTGTCTCCGCGGAGCAAGCATCCGAACATCCCACTTAGGCAGGCCAACGCCGCCGACCTCGGAGGCGATAACCTGGGATATACAATACAATGTAACAACTGGTCTACAAAATGAACTTCATAATGCCTCTCGTTGTGCTCTGTCGCATCTCTTTTCAAATTTCGGTTTCGACGATCGCTTCGAATCACAATGCTCATCCTCACCAACCATGATGTGTCCAATATCCTCCTCAACCTTTCGTCGGAGCAAGTTCGCCAGCTGCTGAACTCTCTCGGGAAAACTTTGAGCCTTTATTCCAAAGAGCAACTGTCAAACGAACCCAAATGCCTACATCAACCACACCGGAGCAATATTGTGACAAAGCACAATGATACGACCTTAGTGATGCCTTCATCGGACACCACAAATACAGGTGTTAAGATCGTCACACTGCCTCACAATGGTTCAGCTACGGGTGCCAATTTGGTTATAGAACCCACCGGCGCAGTCGTCGGAATGTTGAATGCTGCCGAAGTCACTGCATTCCGGACGGCATTAACCATTATGACCCTCTTTGCACGGGTGACGCACATCCACAAGAAGAACATCATCTGTTTCGGATCTGGTCGACAGGTCGAGTGGCATATCCGCCTCGCACTCCTTCTAGCGCCAACGGAGGTTCAAAACATCGTGATCTTGAATAGAGGCCAGTCTCGATTGGACCAGCTGGAGAAAGATGCAATTGCTTCTCTACGCACCCGCTACCCCCAGGTCGACTTCCGGCTCGTTTCCAGAGAGGCAACTCCCGACTTTGATGCTTTGGTTCAGCTAAATCTCAGCTTGGCAGATGTTGTCTTCTGCTGCACACCGTCCACTGAACCGCTTTTCCCATTCCGAGACCTAGCTTCCTCACCCAAGCCTAGGTTCATCTCGGCTATCGGCTCTTATAAGCCTCATATGCAGGAGATTGATACTGAAACATTGCTTTCCGGTGGGAAAATCTTTGTTGACTCCAAAGACGCATGCTTGCAGGAGTCGGGGGAGCTAATCACTGCAAATGTGAAGCCCGACCAATTGGCAGAAATCGGCGAGTTTCTTGCCTCAGATGGCAGTCCTGGAATACCATCTACCGGAAACATCGTATTCAAATGCGTTGGGATGGGTATCATGGATCTTGTGATTAGTAGGGGTCTGCTTGACATTGCAGACGAGGCGGCCATTGGACAAACCGTGGCTAGATTCTGAGGATAACGAGCTAGTTTTATATGATATTCTGTACTATGTCCACTATGTAGTTACGAATGCGGCTAGGCGGACGAGAAGTGCTAGTAGCCAGAGACTTGTGTTTCAGATAATTCTCAATTTGCTAGGGATAATGCCCGGGAAGTGTTAGGACCTTCGCGTAGTGGTCTGTTGAGCAAAGTTGGTAACACCAGAAGGCCCTTATCTGCGACTACCAGGTCTTTGTCTTCTCTTGCGCTACGCCCCCTTTTCTCTTCTGCCCAGATAAGAGCTCTGCACGGTATTTCTGTTATTCCTTGCATGACTGTCGATCTGGTGGCCGAGATATGGCAATTTGCCATATCGGATGTGCCGTCCGACAATCCAGACGAAATTGTTGGCGTGATCGATGCTCCAACTGATGCCATACCGAGAGGTCGCCTTTCTAGCTTATCATCACTGGCAACTGGATGGTAGATCCAGAAGCAGACCTTTGTGCGTGTCAGTACCCGCCCCTATCCTGGGCGAATGACACTTAAAATGACGATCAAGGTCGAGAGGACATCTTGTCCGCCCGCCATTCCGTCGACCATTCCGTCCATATTTGATATTCAGTTTTCACTATGCAATTAACGGATGCGAGAAGATGAAGGACGATCATATGTAGGCTATCACAAAGGCTGCATCATTCGAACAGGGCGAAGCACTTCAATTCGATCCAAGCTCGCCAGCATGCAGGACAGTGCGCTTCAAGACAGATTTGGTCATAATGCCCTTGATCACTTGACGATGACCCTGGCACTGCTGGACAAGGTACGTCACCCACCTTTCTCGGGTGCGCACCTTGCTTGGGATGAATATAACAGATTGACCTTCGGATTCCTCAGAACGGACATGCTTATGCTGCTCTATATGGAATGAAGGACGAAACGCGACTTGCGGGACCAAGAATACAGCTGGCTCGGCAGCATTTTCTATTTCGGCTACCTTGTCATGGAAGTACCCAATATGTGGCTGTCTCCCGTCTTCCTCTAGGAAAATACATGGGCGGGTGTCTCTTTGCCTGGGGTTGATGCTTGGCCTGTATGGCTGCTTGTCATAATTTTGCGGGCCTCGCTGCAATCTGCTTCCTCCTTGGTGCCTTTGAAGCCAGTATCCTCCCATGTCTAATCCTTGTCAATTCGAGGTGGTACCGTCGTGAGGAACAGCCATTGCGCACGGCACTATGGGCCAATACATTTGCAGGCGTCTTTGGCGAAATCTTGAGCTATGCGATCGGCAAGATTGACGGCTCATTGTCTACATGGATGGTATGTATATCTCCCCTCTCATTTTCTGGGTTTTACTGATAGAAATAGTACATCTTCATCATTTACGGAAGCTTCACGGCTTTGATGGGTTTTGTGGTCGCTTTTGCTCTCCCCGATTCAACTTCTGATGCCTGGTTCCTCAGTCCTGAACTTCGCAAAGTCGCAACCCTTCGATTGACGTCCAATCAAACAACCTCGATCAAGACAGCAAGCCAAACACGTTCGCGTCCTCCCATATATTTGCTAATTATTGCTAGGGAATAAAATGGAAGCACATTCAAGAGGCTGTGCTCGATATCAGATATTGGTGTCTAGCGATCTTTCTGACTGCGCAGTCCATTACAAACGCCGGCATCACTAACTTCAACCCTCTAACTATAGCCCAATTTGGCTATTCCACATCGAAGACGGTTTTGATGCGACTCCACAAGCAGCCATTGCCATGGTCGTCCAGGCTTCAATGACAGCTGTCACGCTTTTCGTGCCTAACCTCCGATGCTTCTTCTGGGTCCTGTCAAGCTGTATAACTTTAGCGGGTGCTGTAATCGTCAAAGCTGTTGACCCTGTCATTCAGCCCCAAGTTTCCCTTGCTGGTCTCTATCTCATGGGATTTTACAATGTCTCTTGGGCCATGGTTTTGAGTCTTCAGTCCTCCAACGTGGCAGGCATGACCAAAACGAGTTTCGTCTCCGTTTCTGTTGGATTCTTTTATGGTATGCTGTCAGAATACCTTCTGATTCTTTTCTCTTCTTGCTAACCATTTTCGATCAGCACTCGGCAACATCGTGGGGCCTCAATTCTTTCTGGATAGCCAGGCGCCTAGATATTCTCTTGGCAGTGGAGCTATGATGTGCGCCTTCGCGGTGATGGCGGCGACTGGGATTGTCTACTATTTACTTTGTGCTCTGGAAAACAAGCGCCGGGATAAGCACTCGGTTTGATCGGGGTTAAATGAAGTGAAAGCCGGTCAGATTGCGGTCCAGGATGATCTCGCCGACCAAGGAAATCGGCATTTCCGTTATACATACTAAGTATCGGTTGGAAGAATCGCCTGAATCCCCAGACAGTGCTGTTTCAGACCGTGCTCGGCGCCAAAGCGTGTTATTTCAACATTATACCGCAATTCCTAGTGTTGACTATTTCCGTCTTTGTGTTTACAACTACAATCTGAGGACCGGTGAAATTGACGCCGAAAATGACGGCTTTTGACGCCGGAAACGGCCGCCTTTCCACCCGTCACTTTGAACGGGCGAGCCGCCGCTTCACCGCCCACAATCCTGTACCACCACTATTTTGTACCACCACTATTTTGTACCACCACTATTTTGTATACCCCCCCCCCCCCAACCCCTCCGAGCTGGGGTAGCAAATCAAGTTGATGTTTTTAGACTAAGGACGCCTGCTATAGAGAAAGAACTACGTCGATAGACTTCATCAATCAAAGCTATACTTCGTATAAGATCTCGAAGTCCACTAAGCCCGTCAGATCGTGCATTAAGCCAACTTGTTAAAGGCTACCAGCTTACAATGTATAGCGCTATTCTACTGTCGAAAGAAAACAGGGAATTATGCGCCGCGAACGAGAAGTAGAAGGAAAGGTGACTAGATCTCGAAGGCATATAACTTCTAAGGCCTCTTAGTTGAAGAAGCATCTGTATTAAATATACAGCAGGTGGAAGCAATTGAAGCAGCTCCCCGGGGCCCGGCATACATAGAGAATGGGTTTACAGCCGCGTACAAGCACGGGGGGGGTAATGGAATACGTAGGTTGCCAAGGCATAGAAGCGGTGCCATATGTGTGGCGAAGATCTTTCACATGAGATGCACCTGAAGAGACACGCAGAAGAGGTCCAGCCGTCTTTGTACACAACGGCCGGGTCGTAACCCGGTCAAGGGGCGGCGGTCTTGGTTTTTCTGTGACAGCGAACTTTCGCTCTTAATGTTGTCATACAATATTGCCCACCAGCTGTCGCTTCTGTATTGCAATTCATGTTTTAAATGTTTCTTTCCAAATTAATCCAGATGATTCGTGTTAGAAGTAGATCAATTAGTGTCTTCTGATTGGAGCTAAGGTTGCTTCTACGGTCATATAACCTGCAAATCACAATCGCAGATTTGTGGCGGCCGAAGAGCGTGGCTCAACTGGTAAACGCCGCTCACGCTACATTATAAGCTATCTGGTATCTGATGTATTCGACCTTCACTTTCGACCATAACCTCAAAGTCGATGTTATGCGCGCAATTTCGTTGGTTTTCCATGGGTTGCATCTTGCCACTTCTTGAGATAGCTTGAGCAACAACTGAGCAACGACCTTTCGGTAACACAATAATTTGGCAAAATTCTTGCCAGCTGAAGTCTTGACGTGGCTTCGTCTCAGCCTGTTGCCACTCTGATTTGCCGGATTGGCGTATCTGAACAGCTTTGATACTATCCCAACTCCACGCCCAGCCACGAATCATAACTCTCGGACCAAGTACTTTGGCATTTGGTGAAGGGTCGATGATCATTGAGTTAGGCTCCACTTCCCATACGGGTTGGATTCCTCCATGTGGATTAGGTCTGTTGTAGTAATGGCTGGCGAATATTCCAGGTGCACGGTGGGCTTGAAAGGACAGTCGGCAGAGCCACTTGGTACTGTTGGTCCCGAACCAGCCAGGTACTACGAGTCTCACTGGTCCACCTCGTTCCATCCTAAGTGGCGCAGAGTTCATCTCATAGGCCACAAGAACTTCATCGCTCATTGCTTTTTCCAATGGAACGTCCTTCTGATAACAAGATATTTTCTTCCCAGCGAATACACCATGATCAAGGCCTTCAGACCACATATATCGTGCGGAGCCCAAAGGCTGAGCGAGATTTAGAAGGAATTTGAGTGGGACTCCGGTCCAGGTGACATTTCCAACACGCCAGATGTTCCTATCTGACGGGCGTAGTGGGCTTCCGTAGCATTCGTGAAACGCAACAACGGACAACTTGGGCAATGAACACAAATCAGGGAGAGAAATCGAGAGTGGGTTTTCCACCATTCCGTCGACCACTAGTCTCCATTTAGGGATATCGACGACGGCAATTCCCATATGCATCTCCTCGAACAAGCGTTTATCATGAGTGATATACTCTTGTTGTTCGTGAGGAGGAGGCGCTTCTCGGTGTTTGCTTTGTCGATAGATCGTAACGCACTGGTTTTGTGGCCTTCCAACGCGTGATATTTCTGCGAGCGGTGACTCGTTGCTGCTTTCATTCGTAGGCATGCTGGAGGTACCTCACCAAATTTCCTTCGGCATTGGAAAGTCATAATCAACAAGGCAGAGGGATGATGGTTATAATTGTGTCCGCGAAAATATATTTCCGCCTCTTGTGGGTCCGCAACTGAACTCTTCGTGAAAGCCACCCAAAGTACCATTCCAAATGAGGAGTACGGGAACGATGCTAGAGCTCCGGTTCTATTTTCGTTATATTCTTTCGCATCATCATACCGGATAGGGTTAGTGCGTGCTCATTTCTGCTCCCTGAGCGGGCGAATTGGCTCTTTCCCATATCTTCATCAATATCTAATTCCCTTTTTGTCTCTAAGCTGGCCCCTCCTCATTCCCCCACTTTTCTGTATGCCCACGTCTGCCATGGTCAGGAAGGACAGCATGAATTATGCTTCGGTTGCTTTTATGGGCTTTATGCTGATATGTGTGGTTTAGTATGTGGTATAGAGCCAAGAAACTATGTCGAACCATTGAACGACAAGTATGCGGAAGATCAAACAGATCCGACGTTATGCTAGACTGAGGCAACAAAGCTTTTGGTCAATCAATTGAAGGTGGGGTCGTAGATTGCACCCATATCTTCCATTATGTATAATTCTGTTTACCGCGACAGTATTCTCATTACTCGAATTGCAACTTCAGTAGTAATCCATGGCGGCGCAACATGTAGTTGTCCATGGCGTTAGGGTTGTGTATTTCCTCTGAATATAGGGCGAACCACGGATGTTTGGGGGGGTGGGATTTTGCGAGTTCAGGAGCAGTTCGGTCTTCGGTGTAAGTCCGCGACAGTCTTGATCGTTGTTTTACACTGTAATAAACTCTAATCCGAAGCCATTCGATTTCCTTTTCTGATACGGCCCTAGTAACCACGAGCCTAGTAACAATCTACAGGAACAGTCTAGACACTGACAGGAGGTAGTTAAGAATTTGTCCACACAACAGCAAAATGATCAAAATCCCCCCCAAAAAGAAACTTTTAGCTCTCCATAACTATCTAATTCTCCTTCCGACTATGTTAAATCCACCCTTAACCGATTCCCACCATGCAAATATCCCTTCCAACACGCCAAGTTGAAATGCGTAAGGAGACCGAGTTTCCACGACAAAGGCGTTATAGTCCCCGGCCGCGGTCAGACTCAGTCGTTAGAGGTATTCCAGATTGAATGAACGTATATGGACTGATCGTCATGGTTTGGTCGGCCTCGGTGCGCACCCTCTTGCCCTGGCCGATTCTTGTCGCCCATTCGGCTCGTGATAGAATCCATCTATCCCTTTTGCGCCCTTGAGTCATGCAGGGCTCCCTTTTCCTTAACCAAGTTCGAGATTCCCTCCGCATTGTCGCCGCCCATCCGCGCAAATCCTGCCACCACACCCTCCCGGTCACCAGGCTTCATCTCCTGACTCATCTTGAATTTCCCCTGGACTTTCTCAATGCGAATCTCAATGCCAACAATGTTCCGCTGCATCAACTCAATATATTTCTCCGGCGCATCAGACACTTTCCACGGCTGCGGGTTCTCGCCGCCCGTATGCCCCATGAGCTTCTCGGTATGCTGTGACAAATCGTCGATTTGTTTGGCTAGAAAAGCGCCTGCCTCGGGAGTCTTCGAGTCATAGTAGAGAGAGAGCTTGCCATAGACCTGGACGGCAGAGTAGTTCCATGTGGGGACGACTTTGCCCGTGTCTGGCTTGGTTTCGATGTAGTATTTGGGTGTGACGTAGGAGTTATGTTTACCATTGAACACCACAAGTACGTTATCTTCAAGCTCGAGTATATTGGGCTTGCTCACGAGTTCCTCCATCATGCCTTTCACTTGCGGATTTTGCTTAGCAATGTGTGCGCGGAGACGGCCCTGCGGTGGGGAGCCGGTGGTTTCCTCCGGGAGGTCCAGGATGAAAGGAGCATGGGTGCACTGTAAGGATTCTTGGGAGGATTTTATTCCCGTGATGAGCATCCCTAGGGGATTCTCGCGGATGAATTGGAACAGGACAGCAGTGTCCTGTTCAGCATGGACGGGCGGGAGGAACATTTTGGGGGTCCAAGTCGTGGAGTGGGATAAAGAGGCCTAGTTGACACCGGCCTTGAGAAGGGTACATTGCCAGCCTTATATAGATGACCCAGCCGCTCATATAGAAGACTTTTAAATGTGAGTCATGTAAAAGGCCATTACAATCACGCCCGCAGAACAGAGGCACACCGACTTGACGCTATGCCCAGACGAGCACGAATCGCTCAAGGAGGGGCTAAACCGCGAAGAACTTCCCATTTTGAACGCAAAAATATACAATTCGACCAGCCATAACAGAACAGTACCCTGGTTATACTGGAAGAAAGGCTCGCATCGCTCTAGCTCGTTCTAACTAGTATAGCGGGCGATTGGGATTGCAGTATAAGGGAACCAACCACGGTTCACCATCGTTCCCGCACACCGAGTTTGGAATAGCGCCGACCCACAATTCAGAGATGGATGTATAGAGATGCATGGAATGCCTATCCTGAGAAGGTCTTTCCGGTAGGCTTGCCTGATGCGGTCTGCAGGAACGACAGACCTATGAGGGACACTGATGGTATGTTCGGAAATTTCCAGGATGGCGGCGCAATGTGGGCAGGGAAAAGTATTAAATGAGAGTCTTTTCAAGACCGGACTGAGAAACTCCTCAACTACCTCTCTAAAAATTATAGTTAATCATTTCAAAACAGCCATGAGCAGATCTACCCCCTTGAGGATCGCCGTCCTCATCAATACACCATCAGACGACTATGACTTCTGGACAGACGTCCGTCAGGCCTGGCAAGAATCTTTCGCCAATGTTGCCCCCTGCGCCGAGGTCGATTTCTACGACCCAGTCTTCGAGAGAGCCTTCCCGGATTCGTCAAAATATGACCTAATTGCTCTAAGTGGGGGCAAAGCAGACGCATCTTCATCTGACCCCTGGGTGCTCGGAGTGCTTGATTTCGTGCGCACTGTTGTGCGTGATTCCCCCAACACGAAGATTCTTGGTGTCTGTTGGGGGCACCAAGCTGTGGCGAGGGCACTCGGTGGAGAGGTTGGAGCTGTCCCGACAGGGCCAATCGTGGGTTTTTCTCTAGTACACTTTGACTATTCTGGAATAGCCCTAATTTGATATTGTACAGGCTGCTATCCAAGATATCGCTCTCACGGACGCGGGAAAAAAGTTCCTGACATTCGCCGCCAGCACCGGTTCGTACGTATGTCTACCTTATTTGTCTGCTACCATGGCCATTTCACTGAGTTCGTTGTAGAAAGCACCCGAATTTCATGTCCGCGAAGTCACCAAGCCTGCACCGGGCTTCATCCACCTCGCCTCGAACCACGAGTGCTTCGTCAACGAAGCAAACACAGTTCTCTCCTTCCAAGCTCATCCAGAAATTTCGAATAGGCTAGCCCAGAAAATGCTCCTTGACGACGATAAGGAGTACAATGGGAATTCTACTGCTGAGCAGTTGAAGGCGGAGGTGCAGAAACTCGACCAACCAACTGATGGTATGAAGTTGCTGAAGCGGGTTATTCAGTGGCTAGACGAGTAATCTGAGGATGAGTTAAGTGCGGATAAAGAACTGAAATGAACATGGTGGCTGAGAGAACTCAACTCGAATTGACTGCATAATCAATAGAGCAGACGACTAAGAGCGACACCTAACCATCTGCAAGAGACACCCAAAATCGTAGATTAATGCAATCCAAAGCACAAGAATGAGTTAAATTTCGAAACGTTCATGTCCTGGCCCTATCCAAGTACAGTATGTTACTTGTTCAATGCATTCTGCCACGTACCTATCAGCATCAGAAGATTTACTCGGGTCCAACAACATTATGGTCGCTAGAGTCGAAACGTGCCATCGCCAACCTTTTCGGTCCGAAGTCGTCGGCGTATTGAGTAGAAACCCTGTGAGTTCGGGAATGAAGAGTTGGATCCAGAATGAGCGTCCGTTCAGATTCTGGGCAGCGCCGGTAAACCCAGAAGCCGCGAAACCGCCGTGGAGCTTCTACTAGGTCCGACTTTCTCGTAAGCGATTTGGTTCATGCCGTCACGAGCATAGGAAAAAACGAAATAATGAGTATTTGATACATAATAGAGCGCACTGAGCTCGTTGAAGTTGACGAGCATGCGAAGGAGCTGGATGGATAGCATGAACTTGGCCGTGCAGAATTAGCGCTAATCCGGGCTACCCACTCTATTACCATCAAGACTTACACGACGTGTGGCCCTTGTCGATTGGAGTCTGTCCTACTTGTATAGTACTGTACCCTGAATTTTGCAAATTTCTCTCAGTTCGACGATTTTCACAGCTCGATGCTTGATTGCTAAATTAGGCCTGCTTGGCTTGTGGTAGTCTCGGACGGCTCTAATTGCCCCGGTGTCGGTTGTATACAAGGGTCAAATCATAAATCTATCGGAAATGTCACTATTACCGGTAAAGGGAGGGCACTGAAGAGAGAATTTTCAAATACAACGCGGTGCAGCAATGGTCAATATAACGGATGTTGTGTCCGTTGGTCGGTAGTTCCTTCGGCGCCTTGCAATCTTGAACAATTCTCGACCACCTGGAAAAGTCCCTGCCTAGTCCTTTGCTACCTATCCAACATAAACTCAACAGCAGACAGGCCATTCATTCGCCAAGTGAGTACCGTTGAAGGCGAATAGACTCCCGGTTTCAGAATACTAACACAACAAGATGTCTTCTCATGCAGATAGAGTACACAAGATGGCTATATAGCTCGTAGACAAGGAGCCGAGTTTAGTCAATGACACAAAATTGCGGGTGGGCCACCCGGCCACCCCCAGCCACCGAGCGAGCTTTGCTTAACCCGGTGCGGCGACATCAACACCAATGTTTGGATTCGTTCAAATCGCTATTACAGCATACTACTGTAAATCTATACACTCTGTGAAGAGGTCTCCAGTAGCCCTCCACTTCCCATGAACCAAAATGGTAGTGATCATCTGGCTGTTATAATGAGTGAACTTGGGCATTCCACCGCCATCATCCATGGGCTGCGAGACCCCGAACACGTCGCGGCCCATTGTCCTCTGCCGATTTATCACTTTGACAACAGCAAGCGTCTGATATACAGGGAAAGCCCCCTCCTCCGTCGGTTGCTTGTCCTCTAGAGTCTGCAGCCACTTTTCGATCTGCATGCCAAGAGAGAGGTCCTGACAGCGGAGGGACGCAGCTAATAACAGGCCCGAGAACCCTATTGTATAGTTATTCCGGATAATGGACATTTGCATGTCGGTCCCTTGGACAATTCGAAGTAGGAGGCGGGCCCATGGTTCTATCTCCAAGCACTCACTGCCGAGATGCTGGGCGTCGCGACATGGAAGATTGTGCAGGAAGGATGTGCATTGCATAATCCGGGCCACAACGTAATAAGCAAAGTTGAGGGCTGCATCGTGTGCTTGAAAAAAGATGGGCGATGTTTCTGAAGCATCACCCACAAGCGGTTGTTCCGATGGTGGCAGAGATAACAGCCACTCGTCGAGCCTTTTGGATTCATCCTGTAATCGCGCGAGGCGGCCTTCGGTGTCATCTCTGTCGGACTGCAGATCGCTTGCGAGGGCCAGTTCGAAATCTGTTTGGTCTTTCCAATGTTTGAGAGTTTCCTTCACATTCAGTCGATGGGATTCACATAAAATGCTTAAAGCCACGGCCCGTAGATCGTCGAGGGAGCCAGAGCTTCCTTCAAGGACTCTTGGAAAAGCAATCGAGGGCATATTTCGCTGTACATCGAGAGAACTGAAATATGCGCGCGCCCACCAGACCAGAAATTGCGACTGTAGCCATGAAGTGAGGAGAGCCCTGAACATTGGATCTCCAGTGGTCTCGCGGAGCTCGACGAGAAATGCCGACAGGCCTTGGACATGACAATAGTATCCGTCAAAATTACCCATAGACGCTTCAATGTAGCCAAAGATGACTAGAATAGTAAGGACCTCTGTGGCATTATTTCGGTAGTCGTCTTGAGTGAGCGAAATAAATCTTTTGATCGCAGAAGAATAATACAGCTGACTCCTTGTTTGGTGTATAAGGTTTGGACTAAGTGTTCCCATGGTCGGAAAGGATGTTGAGTATTTTCTTTCGGCATAAATGCGGCTGATATTGCACGAAGATAGAGCGAGGATCGCATCTTTCAACGCCGGAAACCCAAGCAGCTCAGAAGCGGAACGGAATATTGGATGTAATGCTGGCAAGCAGTGATCCTCCCAGTAAGTTGAGTAAAAGACATCTCGATCGGTATGTTGCAATGAGTGGACGAGGTTGATGTTCGGGATTTGGGAACTTCGACTGTGTTGGCCGAAGAGCTGCAGCCCCAGGCGACTTGAGTCGGGTTCGGCTGGCTCCGTCTTTGCACCTGTTTTCTTTGGAGGGAGTGCGGTCACGACTCGGAACTTTAAGTCTAGCTTGACGCTCTCGCATACTATCCCCAGCCTAACACATGTCCCGCACGCTGGCTTTCCTTCATCACACTTGGTCGTCGATGTCAGCGGGATCCATGGCAACTCCTATAGGGGGACAGACTTTGGTGCGTCGTTTGCGACAGCTCTGGCAGCCATTACGCGAGCGGACAATATCTGTTTTCTTGGGTCTAGGCGGAGCTGGTTCGTACATTTGATCCTTTAGCTACCTACCAGCCCAGCGAGGGCTCAGTGCTCGAGAAATCTAGGGCTGTTTCCCCCTGAGGACCTCACGAATAGAGTTAGATGGAACAGTGACGGTGTGTCTGAGCGAACACAGCACGGAAACCGGAGATTCTGTCTAACTGTGGCAATGCAAACCATACAAAAATCAAGGAATAACACTTTTTCCGGCCCAATGAAGGGTGTTGACAGACGTCTGTATGTATGAACTTTTCTATGGTATCGCTGTTGCACCGGTCCGAGGATATTCCGAGTAAAATACTCGGTTTCAATACATGGATTCGGCCTTGGTATTCGACAGGTTTAAAAAAATGCGATATGTCCGTAGAGACAGTTACAATGATTCGCTGAACTCCACGGATCACATGACTCCACATTACTAGATTAGTGTTTCCTTTTCCTCCTGCAGCTCTTCAGCTACATCACACATTACAATACACATCGTATCTTCATGATCTCTCTCTCTATTAGCCAGTAAACTCGAACAAAAAGCGGCGTCGCCCTCCTACTCACCCAGGGTGAGTACGGAATAGGGAGGGTTGGACAAAAGACCATTCGATAAGACACTAATAGGTTAAGGCAGAAGGCGCAATGGTTAATAAAATCATGACAGACGCAGCCAGGCTCCATCTCACTTCGTTCTAGCAAAGTTTCTAGCAGCCAGCATATATCTCGCTGCGAGTAATATCGCTGGTGGAATATCAACTGGCCAAGTTCTCTGTATTGACGGCCAATATTGGGGGTTTGCCCTAGGGCCTATACACCTTTGCCCGTAGGTACTCTACGTGTCTTAAGAAACAAGAAGTGATCAACAAAATAATGATAGTTAACTGAGCAGAGTTACCCTAAGTGTTTACTAAGCTCGACTAGAGTGCTCACTGAGCATAACCTGAGCATTATTTTGACATTACTAACATGTCTTGAGCATCACTGAGTAGTTAATCACCCTGTGCTGTGAGATACTTAGTGAGCAGGACCCTGAGCGCCCTCATGGCGGCACCCCGATCGGGAAATTCGCGACCACAGCCTAAAATCCGGTACATACAGGTACATATGTAGGTACATTGGAGCTCGTATCCTTTCAATTTCCGCATTTCCGCACACGGATCTAGCACCGCGATGCTGATCAATCAGAGAGACATCCAGGGATATATCCATGCATTCATAGAGAATGAGTCAAAGCAGTCACGCCTAGTGTCAGATTAGTACTTTGAAAGTCCCTCGGTGTCTACTTAATTTACCCGGAATCGTAGATTCATTCCATTTCCAACATCCAAAAAGAATAGGAAGTATCTTACTCCGTTATCATCACACCATGTCGCTCTTACAAGCTCTTCACCATGGCGTCAAGCCCGTCGCATTGTCTACTGTACCCCCCGAGCTAGACCTGACCCCCGCGACCCCAGCCGAACATGTTCCAGACATGCAGATTTCTGTAGGAGACACCTTGACGCCTAGAGATGGCCAACCTGTCTTCGAACGGGCGCTGCCCAGTCGGACGACCAAATCGCGTCGAGTGGTCATTACTGCGCTGCTGGTTCTGGCTAATCTTGTACAGGTATAGTCGGGACCATCAATCTTCTCAGAGCGGAAACAATACTGACGATAGTAGATGACAGTCAATTTTGCAGGCATTGCTGGAGGAAGCACCTTGGGTGAATCATTAGATGTTAACGACACCTACGCCTCGTGGATTGCCGCTAGCTATGCGTAAGGCACAGAGCATCGTGGCATTTATAGTGTACGGCCTCATTAACATAAATACAGTCTAACGCAAGGTACCTTTGTGCTGGTTAGTGGTCGATTGGGAGATGTTTATGGCCACCGAGAACTCGTCTTAGCCGGGGGTGCCTGGCTCACCATCTGCACCCTAGCCAATGCCTTTTG